AAGAGAAAAAACTGTATGAGGAACAAAAGCAGCAGTCCTGAAAACGTAAAACAGCATGAGATCCGAATGTGATGCTTGATATGTTCTGTGGTTGTTTGGTCCTATACACCTCCATCCTGCATTTGTGTATCCACATCCATTTTCTGCCTGGCTCCTTCTTGCAGAACTGTTTGACTTCTTCAGAAAGCAAACTTGATGTGGCTTCTTTTTTATTTATTTTTTATTTTTTTTTTCAGTCTGATGAGGAAGGTGGCAAAGAAAAAGAAGGTGAAGAAGGCCAACAGAAATTTATTGCACATGTTCCAGTGCCGTCTCAACAGGAGGTAAGACATTAGAAAACTGAACTGCAGGGATATGCTCCTGTAATTTTATTCTGTATCTGTTTAGTGCTCTTGCAAATGCTATGAAATTGACCAGAAATAAGGTACCACTACTATATCCATCTTCATCAGAGAGTTGCCAGAAGTGTCATAAGTGTTGCGTAACACTACAACACATTCACACTTATCATAGAATCACAAAATTCTGGGAGAACTAGACCTGGATGTAGTACTCCAGGTCGGGTCTCATAAGAACAGCACAGAGGGGGAGAATAACTTCCCTTCTAACCACATTTCTTTTAATGCAACCCAGGATATGACTGGTTTTCTGGGCTGCAAGAATATGTTGCCAGCTGCCGTTCAGTTTTCTGTCCACCAGTACTTAATGTCCTTTTCCACAGGACTGCTCTCGCTCCCTTCGTTGTCCAGCTTGCGCCATGCAGCCAGTGTTTGTGTTGGAGATTGCCCTAACCCATGTGCAGGACCTTGCATTCAGCCTTATGAATTTCACAAGGTTTGCACAGGCCTACCTCTCAATGCTGTCAGACCTGGATGGCATCTCATCCGGCACCACTCCACTTGGTGTTGATAGCAAACTTGCTGAGGTGCACTCAGTCATGGTTGCTTATGATCAGTTATTTATCAGTTATGATCAGGATAACCCTGGTTTCCCACTAAATCTTTACCGTGCTTTTCTGCTACTGGTCTAACAGTTTTTTTCAATTTAGCAATTAGTTCTAAATTGCAGTTTGCTCTCACTTACCAAAAATGATTTGGGTGGATTGACTTTGAGTGACAGTTATGGACTGAAATAACTCTAGGATATATATTGCATTAACCATGACAGGTAGCTTGATATGTAACACAGTCAGGAACATTCTGGAGTTAGAAATGTGTTGGTAGGTATGCCTTGATGTCACTCAGATGGCTTGTGGTGTTTTACCACCTACTGTCATCTTGTTAGATCACAATGCTGTATTCTGCTGTGAAGTCATGATTCTGTACCTTCAGCAAAATATTTTTAATGAGTTGTCAAAACTGTGAAGAGAGAAACGCTGATTGAAAACATTGCTTTCTGACTGATGGTCTTCTCTAAATGAAGAGAGCGTAACAGACTGAAGACTGGTTTTGACTTAACCATTGATTGACATAGCAGTCTCCCTAGTTAGGCAGTAGTTAATTCAGTCTTTTTTTGAAGTGTCAAATCATTCCATGCCTTACGCCTGTGGGATTTTGCATTCTGGATTCTGAAGTACAATTGCAGCTAACTTCCTCATAGAAAAGGGGAGGGGCAGAGATTTGAAATAAAGACATCCATTGTGTTGCTTGTTTTGACTGCCATGAACATTTGAATATTAAAAGATGAAATTGTTGATTCATCTCTGTTCCACTAATTTATAGTAGCACAGGCCTCTGTCACTGCTTCTTTTGCATTTCTCTCTTAATAGCTGGGCATTCTTGGTTTCAGCATCTGAGTTAAGCTGAATGTTTTCATGTTTTTATATTTGCAGATTGAGGAAGCTCTTGTACGGAGAAAGAAGATGGAGCTTCTTCAGAAGTATGCTAGTGAAACTCTGATGGCACAGAGCGAAGAAGCAAAAAGACTTCTAGGATTGTAACATTGCACGAGTATGTCCTGTAGTTCTATAATCTGTCCTAAAGCAACAGTTTCTTTCTATTCCAGCAGCAACAAGTTTAAGCTCTGAAAGTCCTGTGAATAGAAGGAGTAAGCTGTGATTAAGTTAGTGTTTTCTACAAAAGGGAAAACACCCTTTTTGTTTTATCTGCTAGGATGGCTTGACTTTGGTGCTGAGAAAGATCAAGCCTAGTTTAACTTGATCTCTGCATCTTCAGTAAACAGTCTTCAGTCCTTTCACTTTGTGTGTCTATGCAGTGGTGCCTCTTACAGGTAGAGCAGCAAGCCGAGTCACTTACAAGCAGTGAGAGAAATCTGACTGATGGTTCTGCCATTCTGTATCCTGACAGAAAGTGCACACGTTTTTCTCGTGTTGAATTTAGCTGACCTGAGTCCAGAAGTAACTTCCTCTTTGATGCCTGGTTAGTTTACCAGAATAGCCTAGGACCTGTTTCAGAATGACTCGATGGGCAGATCTTATGATTGGCTTTGAAGGTGATTTGCTTCTTTATGTAAACATGTCTAAATTTGTTGCCATTTTTATGGTTTATAGCCATGTTTGTGTGAATTGCCTGAGTGCTGGATATTTCAGCAGCCATTGTAAATACTTGCATCTTTACAATACCTTGTTCAAATATTTTTAGTAAAATTTTTGTACAGACTGATGTCTTGTTTCATTCTGGCTTAAGGATCATTTTCTCCTTAATCACCATGAAAGAATGGGATCATGAAGTCAGACATGCAGTGATTTGCAGTCGTGCGCCCCTGCTGCTCACAGCCTATGTGTAGTGGTAAGAGACAGCACAGTAGAGGACCTGCTTAGGGTCTTACAGTGACCCACGGTGTTGTATGGGTCTGAATGAGGGGAACTTCAAACTGTACAGCCAAGGAGCAGAAGTGCTATCTATGGAATGTAGTGTTTAACAGCTAACCGTGCCAGGGAGCTACAGAGTTACTAATTGCTTTTAATTTTGATTTCTGTTTTATTTCTATTTCTAATTTAGCTCTGTTGTTACAAAGCAGCAAGCTAGTAAGTTTCTGACTGATTTGGTGTGCTTTGAGTTGCACTGTGCATCTTTCTGACGCTGTTCTTTGGTTTTTGCTGCCCCTTGAGTAACGGTTTCTGGTCTCGTTTTTATAAAGTTAGTGCACTTCATCTGCAGGCTGTTTGTACTGCTGTGGAAGACAACATTTTTTCCCAGAGTTTCTTCCCTGAAATGTCTGGCCACCAAAGATGAAACAACAGGCTCCTCCTATGTTGGCTCAGGCCCATGGACTGGCAGTACTGGATCACAGCAGTGTACTTCACCTATGGGATTGTTCAGTGTGTGCAAGCTGCCCAGCACTAAGCCACTGAGTTCCTGGAGCTTACTACGGCAGGCAGCCTGTTAAGTCCTTGCCATTGGTCAGCCCTACCTGCTGTAGGGAACCTGCTTTGGCAGGGGGGTTGGACTCGATGATCTCTGGAGGTCCCTTCCAACCCCTACAATTCTGTGATTCTCTGAAATATAAAATAAAAAGCAAACTGGAACTGCCTAATGGGCTTGCCAAAAGGGCAGTTAAAGCTCGCTTGTAAACAGCCCCTTTGCAACCATGCTTCTAGTAGGCTGTATTTTTTTGTTGTTCAGTACAATGACTTTTTCTTCTGGTGGAATAGTTGTAAGAAAAATGCAAAACTTGTTATGCTCTGCAGATAACCAAGCTAGACTTAGCGGGGAATAAACCCACTAGATCTTATGGCCTGCTGTGGTTTGGGAGTTTATGCACACCTGTGGTTGATTCTTCTGTCACCATAAGCATGAAAGAAAAAGGACAGACAGAGATTTGGGGCAAAGTAATGAGAAGTGGCATAAAAATGAATATTCAGGAAGAATGAGGAAAAGTTTAAAACAAGATAGTAATTGTATTCATGTTCGAAAGAGTAGCTGACAGCTCTGAGCAAGACCAATGTAATGAGACAGAAGTTGTTGAAGCAAATGCTTATTTCCAGTGACCAACACAGAAATGGAATATATATATAAAAACGCAGTGTGGAGCTGTGCAGTGCAAGCTGCCAAACACTGCAGCACTGCATGAGGAATGTTCTTCAGCATATCTGAGCCAACAAATTGTGCCGTAGTCATTTCTCAGCAGTGACCTCTAGCAATACCTGCATAGTGCTGGCTTTGCAGGCTGTTAGGCTGCTGGCAAGTTGCTGTAGCCGTGAACCTGAACTAGCAGTTTGGCTTGGCAAACAGAATGGTGCACAGGCTCTGTGCTAATTGCTGCTTTGGGTGTGCAGCTGGACTTAGAGATGTGGATGTAGGGGGCTTCTAACTACCACTGGTGCAGCAGCTTAGCTTTGACTGTGCCTGGGTGATGATGATCACTGTGTGTGTGTGAGCATGTGCTTTTGTGTTGTGGAGTTCTGCGTCGTGCAGGATCTTGGCCCAGACCGTGAAGGAATGATCTCTGTAGTGCTTGAGTTGCTCTGTTCACCACAGCGCTCTGCTCGTGCTGTTGTGTTTCAGAAACGCATTGGCTTTGTTTCATTCCTGCCACCCGCTGCATAAGAGCCGTGTGGGCCCCGGAGCTCCGTTTGTCCCTTCAATCTGAGGGGCTGGTGGGAAGAACGGCTCAGGGTGCGGTGCCGGGACTGAGCGGATCCGCTTGACGCGCGTTAGCCGACAGCACTGCGGGGTACCCAGCCCCTGGTAGCGCTGTTTGGCTCCTCGCGTTTCAGTCCAGTCGCCGGGAAGTGCCGCGATGTCGGTCCTGCATCCGAGGTACCGCAGTGCCCCGTACAGATGCGATGCGCTTCTTTTTCGAAGGGCGGTGACCCCGAAGCGCCGGAACGCGTGCCGCTGTTGTTACAGAAGAGACGCGCCGTTCCCGGTGGAGGTGCTGCGCCGTGCCGCTGTTTCCCATGGCGGTGGCCGCGGTTCTGCCGGCGTCGTGCGGGCGGCGTCCCCGCGGCTCGGGGCGGGGCGGGGCCTTCCGCGGGGCGGGGCCGGGCTTTGAAGCCGGGGCGGCGGCGGCGGCGCGGCCGCTCGTTCAGTTCCGCCATGCGCTGGGCGCTGCCGCTCCGCGGGCTGCCGGGGCCGCTCGGGGGCGGCGCGGTGGGGCGGCTTCCCTGGCTGTCGGCGTTCGGAGGGCGGCGCGGCGGCACGGCGGCGGCTGCGGGGAACGGCGGGAAGGTAGGAGAGGAGAGGGCAGGGCTCGGCCAGGCGCTGCGCGGGGCGGGGCGCGCCGGAACGAAAGCGAAACGGCGCCGGGCGGAAGTGCGGAACGTGGGGAACGGCGGCCGCGGGGCGGGTTCTGCTTTCTGCCGGGCGCCGTTCGCTGTGCGGCACGTGGGACGGGTGTTTGCTGTGCCCTAAAGCGAAGGGCTGCGGTTATGGAGAGGAGAAAACAGGGCTGTCCGCGGGAGCTCGTGTGCGGAACTCCAAGCGGCAAGCGGCGCGGATAAGTCAGTGATACCGCGGTGCTTTTAAGGCACTGACTTCGTTAGGTTGGGCTCTATAGGGGAACTCGTGGGTATGCAGACGTGCTCTGAGTCGCGGTTTTAGGGAAGCGCTCGTCGAGGCTCGGCCGGCAGCCACGAACGGTGGTGTCCATGTTGTCCGTGTCAGCGCTGTGCCCGGCTGTGGGAAATGCGTCAGATGAATAATCGATGGGGAGTGAAGCGCTGCTTTGGAAGGCAAGGTGCCTTTGGGCTGTGTTGTCATTCTGTCCCTTCAGAGAGCTTCAGCAGCAAATGCTGTCCCGGCTCCATTGCCTGCAGTCATTCCCTCCCCCCTCCCCCCGTTCTCGCTGTCACGCTTAGCACTGGCCCTTATCCTCTCAGTCCGTGTTAATCCTGAAGCCCTGGACTCTGTTTCAGGGCTGGCAGAGGAGTGAAGCTTGGTTCCTTCTGTTGTGTCCCTTCTAACCTGGTGTGGTAATAGTGCTGTCCATGGGCAGCCCTGCCTCACCCAGCTGGTTATGGTCCTCGTGGGCCGATGAACCCAGTTCTTCACTTATTCAAAGACAGAGAGTTAAAATTCTCAGTAACAGCTTTAATGAAGTGCCAGCTTTAACAGCAGGCATTAGTGTGCTACGTACAGAACTAGGAATTGCTGAAGTACTGTATGAGGGCCAGGAACAGATAGCTGTAGCAGGGCCAGGGAACACAAAGAGGACGAGTGGCAGCAGGAACAGTTCCAGCACCTGGTTGTCTTGTAAGGGAGGAGTCTGTGCAGTGTGTGCAATAAACCCCTACCCACTCCTGAAACGTTTCCATTTCTTGTTGCTTTTAGTGGTTTCTGTCAGTATTCTCTGCATTAAAATTGCCTTTTGGCTCCCAGGTCAAGTGAAATCAGAAACAGGCTCACTGGCATCTTGCCCCTCGTTTTACCAGCATAGCTCAGTTTGTTCTGGTCTCTGAAACCACACAGACTGGGCAGAACTCATGGGTCATGTGGATAAGGAGAAGCAAGCTGTAGTGTTGCAGCACGTGCCTGTAAGACACATTAAGAAGTGCACAATAAAAGATCCATTCCTTCCCTGTGGAAGTGTGCGTTTTAACTGAGCTTCAGGTACTGTACTTTTTTTCAAATGTGTGTGTATGGACAATTAATGTACTCCTGCTTTTCTGTTCCTTCTCACAGCTGAATGTGCTGCCATCCTTTGGGTTTCTTTTTGACATTGACGGTGTGCTGGTACGAGGAAAGACTCCAATACCTGCTGCAAAAACAGCCTTTCAGAAGCTGGTTAACTCCCAGGGCCAGTTCTTGGTGCCTGTAGTATTTGTCACCAATGCAGGGGATTGCCTTCGCCAGAAGAAAGCAGATCAGCTGTCCCATGTACTGGGAGTTCCAGTGAGTAGCCTAAATCCTATGTATTTTCTTACTTTTGGTGAATGCATCTAACACACGATTTTCCACTACATGCTGCTCAATGAGTTTTTGTTTTAGCACCATAATTAAAGCCAGAGCATTTCTGAGTTTTCTGTCCCCATCTGTTTACTAAATGAATTTAGAGAACCTTGTGTTTGTGCTGAATAGAGGAACTGTGGAAGCTGGAAGGGTTGTGAATTAGTAGTGTAGTTATGTCTTTTTTTCTGGAACTATCAGTACTTTAGCTGTGAATATTAGGAAGAAATGATACGACAGGGTTTTATGCTGACATGTATGATTGGTTTGTAATTCGTAGAATATGCATATCTGTTAATTAAATATATGTATAAATAGCTTCTCTGAAAAGCAATATGCTTCTCTTTGTTTTTAAATTCCAAACAGATTTCACAAGACCAAGTGATGATGTCTCACAGCCCACTGCGGATGTTCAAACGTTATCATCCAAAATGCGTTCTTGTATCTGGACAAGGACCACTGCTTGATATTGCTCAGGAGTATCTTTAAAAGGACAAAATAAACTTTCCGTTGGAGTATTTTCCTTAATCAAGTTCAGACCAAATATTTTAGCACTACAAATTCAGTATTGAGAGTTCACTAATTAGCTACTTTAATTCTTAATGTCAAATTTAAGTTTTGAAAATGGTTGGTTGTTGATTTTTGCTTCAATTTATTCTACACTTTTTCATATTGCTATTACATATCTTTAATTGGGAAGGAAAAATGACCATTATTTCTTTGTCTTATGTACGTGTAGTGAGCCTTTGGCATAAGGGTTTGTGTTCTCTTGAGGATGAGAACATGGCATCCTTCAGTACTCTGTAGTAAATCATATAGTTAGCTTTATCTTAGAAATGGTATTTCAGAGCCTGAATTTATTCTTTCTGTTCTTTTGTCTCCTGTTGTCGTTCTTCAGGTCAGCCTGCTCAGGTTTGTTAGGGATGTTAAGAGAGAAGAGTGTGATAAGATTGAATGCAGCAAATAAGCAGCCAGTTTGTTAGATAGCATTTTTACAGGGGATAATCTTATTTTCAAACAAAACCCGTAGTGTTAATTCTAAAAGAAAATCCAGTGGCTCTGCTTGTATAATCAATATATTTAAATGCCTGTTGTTTCCATACTCATTGAGGAGGTCTTATTGGTAGTAGCGTCCCTGCTGCTTTTTACAAAATGAGCAGATTTAGTTTGGTTATGTCTTAAGTGAGTTTAAATTAATGGGATGTATCTGTATTTAAGAGTAGCACTATGCAGATCTGGGAATTTTCTCACTTTTTGCTCCTTTCTTTTTTTTAAAACATGTTTCTAAATTTGCCTTACCCACCTGCAAGGCGTAGTTAAACCTTATTGGTCAGTCCACTGTTTTGCAACAGACGGAGGTTTCCTTCCTATCATAATTACTTGAGTTGTTGACTTTTTATGTTTATGTAAAGATAATCTTGGGGGAGTACGGCAGGTGTTGAGTGCCTTCTTCCTTTTCATCTTGTATTTTGAGCCAGCTCTCTACGCCATTTCTGTCAAGACTTCAGACTTCATATAGGACTTTGTAAATGAAGCAATGATCATTTATCTCATGCAAGAAAAAGTCTTTGGTAAAATGCTTACAATTCCAAATAGTTTGTTTTACCAGATGATAAGCAGCACATGTGAACATTAATTGTCAAAATTGAATTACAGATTAAAAAAAAATATATTTTGATATAAGCAGTTCTGCATCCTTAACTGGTGTTCTGCCAGCCTTGGGTTCAGCCAGCCTGTCACCATTGAGATGTTGAGGGCGAAGCACCCGCTGCTGGATGTGGTTGACCACGACAGAGCACCGGGTGTTTTGGTGAGTCTGTGTCTAAATATTTTTATTTGGTCATTAGATGACATTCAACTGTGGAGGTCAATATTTGAACTGTAGAGCTGTGATGTTGTCTTATGTTGCATCATGACTTTACTTTTATTTCCTGCTTCTCTATTTGTTTCATGGCAACATTTTTCAAGAACCATGCAGAGTTTTCCTTCTGTTAGTGGTAATTCCTTCACAAGTATTTGCGCTTTGTAACTCACTGTTGTGTGATTACTACAGATATCTAATTCAAAATCTGTTTTGGAAAGCTTATTGGCTTCCTTAGATGCATGGAAGATGAAGTAAGCTTTTTCTTCCGGTAGAGGAATGTTGTGGAGCTGACTCTATAGGCCATGAAGTTGCTTTGGTTGCAATGATTTACAGCTAATGAACTTTTCTCCAAAAGGCTGCTTTTATCGTTTGTATGGTTATTTAATTATATCTAAATATTAACAGTACCTACTGCTAGTTTACATAAGCAGCATGTTTTAAACTGAGTCTTGCAGAATTTCAGAAAGAAGTGAATGCATATGCCACAAATACATGCATGTATATTGTGCATATACAGGGTCAGTAAATGAGGGGGTTCTTCCCTTCTGTGTAGACAGAAAGGTCTTTGTTATGGTTCGTACAATTCATTACTTAATTATATTATCTCTTTCCTTGCTCCTCAACCAGGCACATTCAGAAATTCAAGAGACTATTCATGTTTTTGTCACCATGGGCTGTAGATCATAAAGTAAAAACTGTTTCTTTAGCAAATATATTATGAATTAACAATATATTTCTTCTTAGCACTGTTAAAGGCACGTACTTCAAAGCAGGTATTTCAAATCCTTTGTTAGTGCTGGAGGACTGTGTTACTGCTATAGAAAAATAAACATCCATGCTTCTGTGCAGAAGTGAACCATCAGCTGAAGCTCTGAGCCTTGCCAGAGGTAGTTGAATAAATTGTCTGAAGCTTCTGAATGTGGAATGCAATAACTTGCCTGGTATCCATTTGCTGCTGGATTTCAGTTTAGAACTTGAAATGCAGATTTCATAGTAAACTGGCCTTGGTTGCTGGAGTAGTAGCTGCACCAAAATAGTGCATTTCCTTTCAGTGTTGTGGAAGGCAGCTGTGGGAACTGTACTTGAATTTTATTCTCTTGAAATAGTAGCAGATGTTTAATCTTGCAGAAAACTTGCACTTTTTTTCTTATTTCAGTACCCCTCTGCTGTGGAGCTTCCCAAGATTGAGGGTCAGTTATGTTTACTTAATTTGTAACTATCCCTTAGTAGATGGAATATCTTTATTATACTTTTCATTATCGTTAGAATTTATTTTCATATTGGTCATATTGGGAAGTTGGCTGAGACAATTCTAAAGCTTCCTCATTGGTGACATCTGTTATTGATACAGAATGTATAAGGTGTGGAAAAGCTGTTTTATGTGTACAGTTTTCAGTCATGTGTTTTTAAAGTTTCCAAAGGAAGGAGAGGTCTGTTTTCCTCTTTTATCTTACTTTAGCAGGCTGTTACTGAATTCCTTTTTAATATTAAGAATGAGTTGACATGTTCAGAAATAACTGGTCTTGATTTCAGGAGGGTGACCTGAGAGCTGTAGAGTGAGAAGTATCTTGTTTCAGCATATCATATCTTGTCTGAATCTTGTCTGAAGAAAACATTAAAATAGAAACTAGCCAAAGATTAAAATAAAAGTGCCTTGATTTTTGGAGACCAGAAAATTGGGTAGAAACAGCATCCAAATCCTGTTTTAACATGAACAAAGTAACATTACTGATGGATTATTTCAGTACTGTACATGAACTTAGAGAGTTCACAGAGGTACAGAGAACTTAGAAGTATAATTTATAAGTTAACATTTTGTGCTGTGGATCAATTTGGCCATTGCAAAGAATCAAAGAATTTCTTAAACTTCTAGATTTTGCATTGGAAGCTTTGTTACTTCTGATATTCTTTTGTGAAAGAGCAGGAAACATTAAAACATTATGCAGGTATTTCATTTTGTCACCTTTAAATCAAAGTAATGTTCAGCCTTGTTAAACCAAGCTTGTATCAGAGGTGTGGTGCCCTGCTAACTCTGTTATGTATTTCTGGGTTTCATAGCTGTCATTTTGTTTGGGGAGCCTGTCAGATGGGAAACCAACCTTCAGCTTATAATAGATGTTTTGCTGACCAGTGGCTACCCGGGAAATCCATATCACCATGAAAATTACCCTCAGATACCTGTACTTGCTTGTAATATGGATCTAATGTGGGTAGCTGAAGCACAGTCTCCAAGGTAAGTGCAGCTACAACACCATACAGGTATGCCATGTGACATCTTAGGTTTTTCCTCACTTCTTTAGTACAATTAATAGTCAGTATTTCCATACAGCATTTTTATATGGCTTTATGGTGGATCTCAGATTCAAATACAACGTTTCAAAAGCAGCGTGCTGTCAGCAAATACTGCCTTATTACTATCTGTGTCATTGTATCAGTTGCTGGATACATTGAAATCAGTTGCTGGAGATAAGACTGCTTTTATGAGGTCAACTTTTTTGTTTCCCCACTCACAAAAGAGAGCTTGAAGGCTTAGAGTTTGTCCAAAGGGAAAAAAAAAATCAAATCTAATGTTTCATTTAATTAGATTTTTTTTGTTGTTGTTGTTGTTTGTTTTTGTATTTTCCAACTTAGTTTCTGGCAGGGTGAAGAATTGTCACGCTAGCTAAAAGCAATGAGTTCTTGAGCTGAAGACAATATAGTGTAAAGGAACATAGGAAAAAATGAATAGAACACATAGGACAGGATGGCATGATCTCTGAGAGTGTTTTATTTTGACTTTAACAGAAGGCAGTTCTTTAACGTGTTTATTTCCCCTACCTTCCCCCTCAGTGTAAAATGTGAACATACACTGAAATAGAAATTGTTATTATTGTGACCTGATAACGGTTTTGATCTCAGGTAGGTGATCTTGTCAGATATTCCTAGTTGGTTATGAAGACCACATCTAACATTAGCAAACTATGTGTGTGTGCTAGTTCAGCTAGAGTAAGGTGATGAGAGTGTGTGTATAATGTGTAAAAGAATTAAGAGGCGTATTTCCAGTAGTGTTCCTCAGGAAAGATCCAGTATTAAAACTGAAATAAAGTTTGCTTTTTCCTTCGAGTTTGTTACTTTGTCTGTTGGAAAGTGACTCCCTGAGCATGTGGTTTTAAATTGCTGTTGGTATTTACTGGAAATAACTTTATGCTGATTTATTCAGATTTCTTGAAACAATAAACTGGGTGGAGAGGGTGAATGAAGTGATATGTATTAGTTCATGCCTAATTCCACATGCTGATTTCACTAATGATGTAAAGCTGCTTTTTTGGTTATGAAATTATGTCTTTTACTATTTTACTGCCTTGGATGATGAGCTGCATCACTTGCTGCTCACACCTTGCTTGAGCAAATAAATTGAGTTATCAGCAGCTTGGTGCAGTGTTAATTTGTTCCATGATTTTTTGCATCTCTTCTTGAGAGAAACCAATGAGGTTTTTGTTTTCACATTATAGACTGCATTTTGGTATACTCTTGTTTTTAAAAACAGAATAATTTTCCTCCTGTTGGTTTCTGACTTTCCTTTTCCATTTCTCCTCTTTGTTATTTCAGCTGCTTCTGTTCAGTCACTGCAAAGAGCAGATGACAGCCTAGGCATTTTTTCAAAGGGTGTCCATTCTGAAAATGATCAGATCTGTGTAAATGCATGCAACACCATTACAAATTATTGCTATGTTTTTGAAACCAATAATTTCCAATTATGTTTTCTTCATTATTATCTTTATAGGTTAGCTAATCAGCACTTAATTATTACTGAAAAAGCTGTGGGAATGCTGCATGCAAATGGAGAGAAATCTCATAGTAACAGGAATTGACTCTCAACAGATAATGAAATAAAAAAGGTCTTGTTTTTTTTTCTGTATGCTTGATGTAATTTGGTTTGTCACATATCTTTCCATCTTCTTAGGTTTGGGCATGGGACATTCATGGTTTGTTTGGAAAACATCTACAAGAAGATTACTGGCAAAGATCTGAAATATGAGGCCTTAATGGGCAAGCCTAGTGAATTGACCTATCAGTATGCAGATTACCTTATCAGAGCTCAAGCAGCAGAAAGACAGTGGAAGCAACCCATTCTAACTCTTTATGCTGTTGGGTAAGAAATTCTAAGTCTAATGAATACATCAAGAAATTACTTTCAAGATAAACACTGAAAAATAAAAACACACAACTCTTTGTATGGTTAGGCCCATTATGTCACTGCTGGGACAACTGAAAATGGTTAGCACTGCGTTGTACTTAGGTGTTTTCATGCCTCTCAGTTTCTAGCCTTCCACTTGATTCTTAGATGTATGTACCATTTCTGTGCAAGTATGAAAGGGAGGTTTTATGTTTCTTATTAATTTATTTAAAATGCTCTTTGAGCCCTTAACAAAAAGTTTGTGAGGGATTGTTTTGTTTTCTTTAACTTAGTGGTATAACAACCACAAGCTTTGAGTAGTACATGACATTTTAAGGAATGTTGGAGCTAGAGTTGATTTGAGGTGTAATTGAACTTGGTCATATACTACTATGCGTGCAGTGAGTGACATTGTAGAATCATTTTAATAGAATGAGATAAAGCTGTGTTTTATCAAGGATTGCTCCAGAATCTCCAAGATGCTTGGAAATATAACCTTTTTAATGGACTGCTAATAGCTGTCCTTGCTTTCCCTTCACCCTATCCCAGGTCTGGAAGTCTCAGTACGGGGAATTTTCACTCCCATTATTTGTCACGGTTAATGAAACTGCATAACAAAATTGCTATATGACTGGATTTTCTCCTGTGTAAATAATTCCACACGAAGTTATGGAAAATGCAGAATACATAGTTAAAACCTTGATGTCCTTTCATACACTTGGAGAACTAAAATTGTGCTGCTGACTGAAGTACTATTTGTATTTCCAGAGATAATCTCATGACTGATGTCTATGGTGCTAACCTTTACAATCGCTATCTCGAAGAGAAGAATTCCAGAAAAGGCTCAAAAACATGGATTCAGGCCAAAGTTGCTGGTGGCAAAGGGTCTGCTGCTCTCTCTCAGGATGATGAAATAGTCAACAGCTGGGAGAATGAACTGGCATCCTCTGCTGCTACCCACTGCAGGTCTGTTCTGGTTTGTACTGGGGTTTACAACCCTCACACAGAGGTACCCTTGGATACCAAAGAGAGCAGAACTGAAACGATATTCCATGGCCACAGAGATTTTAGGTTTGATCCTGGTTTAGTAGAACCAGATCATGTGGTACCAGATGTTAATGCTGCTGTAGACCTGATCTTCCAGTTGGAGAACTTTGCTCCTAATTGACATGACATGATTTCTTCAGGACAGCTCAATGTTACACTTGTCTTCCCCAAAACTGTGCTTTAAAATCATGCCACAAACTGCTTTTTTATTTTTAATTTATTTTTTTGTTTACTATTTAACATATAATACTATATAAATATGAAAGTAGATTAATGTGCTTAATATACTTAGTATAAGACTATGTAAATTAAAAAAAATCTGTTTAAAATATTTTAAGATTGTATGAGTATAAATAATACTTTAAAAGTATTTCAAACTGATTTATTGCTTTAGCTGTTCTTTATTTGGATGTTATTCATTATTTTAGGTATTCCAATAGTTATTTTTCATAATTGCTTATGTTTTATCGGTCCTTAAATTCCTGTGTGAACATTCTTTTCTTTCTTGAAAGATTTGCCTTCTAGTTATTGGAGGTTTCTGATAGTGAGACTGGGTCAATCACATAATTACAAGTTGTTTGATATAGAGCACAGTAAGTATTCTGCAAAAGATGAGCATTCTTGCAAATATGTTGCTTCACATAAGAGTTGAATTCAAGAATATTCTGTCTCTGTACTCACTCAGATGTAACCATGCAGCCTTTCTTTTTATCTGTTTTCCAATGTATCTGGACCTGCATTGCTGCTATGCTCTGACACGTAAACCCTTAAAAGAAACGCCAGTATAAGCTGATGAAGGCTGAGTTGTTAACAGAAATTTTGGAACTCCTGCTAACTGAACAGTCATACAGGGAAAGCAGCAGATAGTGAGTGTCCTATGTGGTGTAACACCTGGCCTTTTTGTTGTTGCCTTTTTATTTGCACTTCTGTGGGTAATTTTGGAAATTGTTTTGGGCATTTCACCTGGACTTTTCCACTGAATGAGTGACTGCTCTTTGGGCAAAAAGTGCCTACTAGTTTACTTGAAGCTTTGTACCACTGTGGTAGCTGACTGCCCTCGAGTGTAATATGCTTTGTCTTGTGTCAATGTTATGTGTTTGGTTCATGGTTTTTTATAATTGTTCATTTTTTAAAATACTTATTTTTATAAAATACTTCTAACCATTTTAATCCAAAAGATGTATTTGAAAATGTCTTCTGTGTTGGTTATAACACACTGAGATAACACTTGAGATAAGCTGTGTGTCTGTCCCTTATTGCTTGGAAAATATAAGTCAATTAAATGCTTAAAAATGAAGTCAACTTACATGGAAGTAGCATGTAAAATCACCTTAGGACTAGTGAGGTGTGGGATCTGTTTTGTTTCAGAAATAAGAAATGGTACAACAAATCTGAGAGTCTTCCAGAGTTCTTGCAGAAGCAGAATGCTGCCTTACAAGCATTCTCAGCTGGTGGGGTAAGGAGAAATGATGTCCTGGCCAACTTCTATGTTGCTTATTATCCTGAAATCCAAATCTGAGTACTCTTCATGTCATGAAGAGAACAACAGTGCTGCCATTAAGTCAGGCTTTTGTTGTGTTTTCTGTTTGCATGCCACTCCAGTCACTTCCACTACTGTCAGGATTGTTGATTAATTCACTCGTGTTTCGTAAGTAGCTTTCAACATACCTTGCTGGATGCAGGGTTTTAAGTTTAAGGACACTGTTCCAAATATTGTATTTTGTTTTTATTCACTGGAAAACTATTACAGCAGTCCATTCTTACCTTTCTTACTGTTGCAGCAAGTGAATGTGTCTGTTTCTTTATCTCTTTTCTGTAATATGCCAATTACTTACGAAGCATGCCAAATGTTTTTAAGTAAGAATGTTGTTAAGGTTTTGTAAGATGTCAGGATAACCAGAGTTGTGTTGTTTCAGTATTGAAGCACATTGCTGAATTCTTTCTTACTGGAACCCGTTTCAGACTTTCAGTGAAGCAAGGAATAAAAATGTGGAAGTTGATGAAGAAGGCACTGTTCAATTTTTCTCCTTTTATTCCCTCCCAGATATGCATGAACATTTCAGCATCAGTTGTCATTTGTCTGTCAGCACAAAACAAAATATAGGCAGTTGGTGCCACGGATGATGAACAAAGATGACCTATATATTGGAATTACTGTAAAACTTGAAAGAACTGTTGGCATACTAAAGCACTGGCCACAGCGTGTTAGCTAGGCTTGTTCCATGTTGTACAAGTGAAGATGCTACACTGGCAGACTTCTCCTTTGAATGTTGTATCTTGTTAACTCAGGAAGTGGTGCAGGTGAGATTTTCCTTCAGCGTGTCATAGAACATTGCATCAGAGTCAATAATGAAATGGGTAACACTGTCTGTTAGAAATGATGCTTTAACGTGGTAAATTGGTACATTGGTAAATGAGTTAAATGTGGAACTCTGTAGAAGAAATGTTTCCATTACTTGAAAGGTAATGCGTAAAGTGAAAACCAGCATGGTAAAATGTTCTGTCTAACCAGTGAAGTGCGAGATGAATGAATATCAGGTTTGTTGAGAAAAGTCTCAAACTGTATTAACTTTTTGTCTCTTTGATTGTCCTCCTACATGGATTTTCACTTGTATTCTTTTGATGTGTTTTGAGCTTCAGTGCTTACCTCACTGAAATCGGCAGCACGTCCCACGTGTTGTTTGGTGTGTTTGGCCGCACTGCTGGGTGTGACAGCACTTCTTTCAAGGCTAAAACGTCCTGTTGGAAATGCAGGTGGCCCGAGATGCTCCGGAGTAACGCAGTGAAGTCACTGTTAGCAAATGCTGGGGGTTGTGGTGAAGTTTCCGTCGTTACAACTTGTCCTTCATTTCTGCACTGGTGGCATTTTCTGTATTCGAGCATTTTCTGTAAAAAAAAAAAAAAAAAAAAACCTCCAAAGCAACCTCTGAAGAATAAGTCCTGTGCTTTTTACTAATGTGAATTTGCAGTATTTTAAACTCCTGTCATGTATGCTCTTCAGTTTCGTATCTTTTTCTTTGGGAGTATTTTTGAGGAATTTAAAGAGTTAAAGTTTGAGGAGTGTGATGCTTAAAACACTTTTGAAGATATTTCTCCATCCATATATTTAAGAAAACAAAACCAAACCAAAGCTTGATTTAAAATAAAACTTATGTCACATCTTGGAACTCTTAAATGTCAAGAAAGGAACCATCGGCTTTGCAGCACGCCTGCACTTTTGAGCTGGGTGCCGTGCGCCTGTCGGTACCGCTGGCTGTGGGTTAATCGCGCTTCCCGCGGTGCAGCTGTGAGAGCCGCCTCAGCAGAGGGGCTGCGCTGCCGTCGCGCGCCGTGCCCTGCCCAGCCGTGCCGGTGCTGGCGCTGCAGGCGGGCCGCGGGGGGCGCTGTCCGCCATGCTGGCTGCCCGCCATGTTGAGTTACCTCAGAGGGGCGGAGGGGCCGGGTGTGGGAAGGCGGTGTGGTGGAGGGCTGATAGTCTCTTCTCCATGCTTTTATTTGTTCAAGTAGTAGCTACCGCCCTCACACGTTCTCCGAGGTCCAGGGTGTTTCAAGTTCATCCTCGTGGACCAAACCCCATGTTGTTAAGTGGTAAGTTGGTAAAATGCTGCAAAAATGGCGGGTGCCAGGATACATCCTCTCATCCACTCTTGATTTCAAATGAATACTAAGCACTCGGTCCCTCCTCACTCAGTGTTTGTGTCGGACGCGTTCTGCCCTAGCAGACTGAGAGACGAGCTCAGCATGGTGCGCCTGAAAGCAGCAGCCAGACGTTGCTCCCCAGTTTGGCTGTAGGTGACTTCAAATATATCAGTCATGTTAGATTTGGGAAAACATCTGAATTCTAAACAACTGGTTGGGCTTTCTTCAACGAGAGACAGGGGAAAGAAGTCACACTAATTTATTTGTTTTTCCTGTGAAATGTGAAAAGGCTATAGGAGCTGAAAGGCCCTGGAGCATCTGGGTTTTGTTTTGTGGGTGGATTTGCAGAGACCATACAACCATTATGTTTTCCTTGCACTGGATTTTCAGAACTTCAGTTTGCCAGCTCTCTGTCAGCTATTTCTTGTTCAGAACGTGTTTCAGAGTGATGCATAGAAAGGAAAACTAACAAATTATTCACAGAAATATTTTTCTAAGCTTTGATTTTGCCACTGTGATTTTTTTGTTCCCACCACCTACCTTTGAATCTCAATAGGGTAAATTACTTGTTAGAAGCAATTATTTTCAGTGCAGCTCATAGTGTTAGCACATGGTGACACAGAGGTATCATTCTGCCTTTGTAATGACTGAATATAGTGTTGTAAACTGATGTGCAAATATATCTGAAACTAATGCAGCTACATGTTGTTTTCAGTTATGCTGATTGCACAGACAGCTGAAGGTGTGTGAACATTGGCTCAGGCCAATGGCTCTGATCACTGACTAACACAGACTGTATTCAAGTATTTTGTATACAACTGTGGATTTTGGGGTGATGAGATATATCCTGCTTTCAACATTCAAACAGCCTGCACATCAGAAGTTTCTGAAAAGAGTGTGTGGTCAGTTCTATGAATAACAGATCAATATGTATTCAAAATAGCAAACACAAAGTAAACCCACCTGAAAATCAGCTGAGCCTGAATCTCTTGCTTAATTAATCTTAAAAGATATTCTTCTTTGCTTTTGTTGATCTTGTATGCCAGGCTAAGAATCCACGATCATGCTAAACATGTGCAGTTAACACCCAGCTAGCCTTCTGGCAGGTTTATCTATTACCTTCTTCTGTAGCAGAAGCAGTGCTTGTAATGTAGCTAAGAGTTTTTCTCAAAATTAGAAGTGCATTTTCAATGGGACTCAAGTCTCACCTGTTGCTTTATGACAGTGTATCTGTGTTTACGCTTTCCACTAGCTTAATAGTTAAGTTCCTGGCCATAGATGAGGATGCTTTGTTTAATTTACAATAACTAAATAAAATCGCGGATCTAAATGTTCCTTAGGGAAGGTGCAGTTTTAACCACATTGTTTACATTTAATTGTAAACATTGAGGAAAAGTTATCTGCACCTCCAACATGGAAGACTTTGAATCCTTTTTATGTGCATGCATTTATGCAGGTGATGGGCAACTCTAAGTATGTATGAGTCAAGTACTGCTTGTTTAACAGAATACACTGAGCTATCTCGTCTAAAATTAAAAGAACATACAGCACTGTATAAAGGATACAGAGTTTCTTAGATTTTTCATTTTTTTGTTTTGGATAAACAGCCACAGCAAATTACATGCATAAAATAACCACAAAAGATATTAATTGCCAAATGTTTAATTAAATTTTTAATGATACACAGTACAATGTATCTACTAGACTACAATTCACAACATAAAGCAGGTTTTGTATCTGCTTAGAAATATTCTTCATAATAAATTTATAAATAGATGAAGGTAAAGTATAAAAAGTTACTGTAGTATGCAAGCTTGCTCCCTTGTCTCCTCATATTCCAAATGACCCAGTCAATATTGTAATAAGAGAAGTAGTTAGTGATGATTAGAAACGTACAGCCTGCATCTCTCGAAGAAACCTTGGAAAAAACAGCAACAGATTTGTCCTAGAAAATGCAGAATATTTTTAACACTGTTATCCTCTAAACCCTTCACATCATTTCGGAATGCAGTGAATGAATTCAATATGAATCAGAGATTTGTATTTTCTCCCCAGCAGGTGCATGCGCCAGACTCACTTGAATGCTGTTGACTCTCTGGAGTTGTGCATCTCAGGAGACTGGGTGTTCCAGCCATCAGGTATCAGTGAGCGAGGCACAAAAGAGGGAAAAGTTGGTTGAGAGCACTGAGCACATCTGACTATTGAAACTCTTAGCGTTTCTCCACAAAGGCAACATGAAATCTTAACACAGTTACAAATAACTAAATTCACCTTCTGCTCAGTAAGCCTGTATCTATGCTGTACCTGGGAGGTGGAGCAGTGTCTGGTCTGGTGCATTGGTTCCCAGGTTTTGAAATGGTATGTTCACATAGCACCATTTCAACACTCAACTCTACTGAATCCCTCATATTACGCCACCGAGTTTTAGCAGTTACTCGTCAGTACATCGCTTTCTTAAGAAAACATACATAGAGTTTTCTTTTGTCAAGTATCAAAACACTTTTCATACCTAGATCTATTTTTGTACCACTTACAAAGGGGAAAATCCTTATCTATGCACAGCATTGAAATAGGGAATTAACATGAAAAACAAAGAATGAGTATGCTTTGCCTTCTGCATGAATGTATTTTTATCTGATAACCATTTCCTTTTTCTGAGAATCTAGTTCCACACAAGTCTTGTGCTTTTTTTGCAGCGGTAATTGGTGAAATTCAGCTCTTAACTCTTACGAGTAGCTTCCAATTGTCAAGGCAAGTTGGCATGCCATGTTCAAAAGACAATCTTTCATACCTTTGTTTTCATATGGAATAGTTTAGATAGTCAAAATGGTCAGATGTTCTAAAAAGGCAGTTTCTAAGGAAAAAGTCTTTCATTTAATGCTTTCCTGTTTCTGTTTACAGAAAGATGTTATGTGTATATTTTGGTTGATTGAATGATTAGAAATCACAACTGCTAGCTTGCCCCAGAGTTGGTCATGTGTAAGGTACTTAGAAACTTGGATCCCTCAGCTAGCTACTACATTTGAATAATGTGTCCTTTAAGATGTCTTGGTGAGTGTGGGGGGCTTAAGACTGAAACTCCTATGGTGTAGCCAAATATTAGTTTGAGTAAGAATAAACTCAATAGGGGAACTGTTGTTCCTAGTATCTTAATCCAGAATGTAAACATCAAAAATATAAATGCAGAGTGATATTTTGGTTTATGAGTGATTTTAAAAGGACATTTCACTTGTAGTAATTCAGCTGGAATACCCAAGTTTGCATGGTTAAGCAAGCTTTAGATGGAAGTGGCTTAGACAGAAGCAGCTTTGGGAAGCTGCTGTACCTACCAGATGTCTTACCCTGCTTACAGCACCTCATCAGCTGAATGAGTGCAAAGCTAAACTTAACTTTTTTTTTTTTTTTTTTTTTTTTCAGAGTACAGTATTATATGCATGTTAAGATCTTAAGTCACTGTCACAGAGGTGGGAGAACTGTAATTACACGTGCAGAAAACCTCTGGGTTACAATCCCACTGTGCCCCTTTAGAGATTTGTGAGGAGATTCTTCTTCTTTTTTTTTTTTTTGTATATTTGAGGTTGAGAGAATAGAAATCAGTATCAGCAGTTCAGTTCAATAATCAATTTGGAAGTAACTCAAGTGAAATCTAAAAGTGTCTTGCAAAAGAAAAATACAAAGTAACTTTTTAATGATAAAAGAGTCTCAATTTTTTCTTTTATTGATTGCAATGAGGTTGTATCTGATCCCCCACTATTCTCAGAGGATGTCCCTGGAGAAAGGTGATGTACTTTTACATTAAGCTACTCTGTTATGTCAGCTATAGTTCAGCATTCCACTTTTGTTGGAGGTAGACAGCCATCAAAAGTCAAGCAGGAAAACCTGTAACTACTAGTGCAGAGTATTACTTTGAGAAGAAAATTACCTGCTTTAAACTGAGTAATCATTGACTAAACTGCCCAGATTTAATGAGATAAAATAGAAAATTCTTCTTGGCTAACTCAAGCATAGGCTTTACTTTTCTCATTCTCGGGAACTTACTGTTAATTTGTTTTCCAGTGGCCTCATACAAATCAGTACGTCAGAACAAGGCCACTGTTGATACAGTCTGCCTTCAGTCACACCTAAAGGTACAGAGGTAATCGGGGTACCTGCTGTTATCAGTATTAGCGTGACAGAAACCCTTGTTGAAAAAAGACAGTAAAAACAAAGGAAATAACAATTTAAAAAAAGAAAAAAAAGAAAAAGCTCTTTTGTTCTTCAGACTAAAATGAAATGATAAAAAGGGGTACAGAGGGCTAAACATGCCAGGAATCAGAATGTCTTGTTGTAGAATAGCTTTTTTTCCTAAAGTATGTGGTGGGGACTGCATGGAAGTCCAGGGAAGCACTAGGGAAAGGCTTTGGTGTTATTTGAGTGTACCACTGCTCAGATGTATGCAGAATGTTCAGGTTTACTGCAGTAATGCATTTAAACTACATGTGACAATCTGTTCTTCATATAAATATGGTTTCCTCTGAAGTCAAACAGCAGTAAGAGCCCTGGTTTTCAGGAAGCCCTAAGAAATCTACGCTGTGTACAGAGAGCTTCATTTGGTTTTGTTACTCCCTCATAAAGTCACCTCCACTACACTGACAGCAGTAAAATCATTAGGACTTTTCTTCTGTTCTCATGTTTTAAATTATGTATATATATATATATATATAATTTGTTTTGCAAAACAAATATTAGCATGTTTCTAGGTTTACATTTATTTGATACAATGGTTATGTAATTATAAAATCCCATCCATTATGATGGACTGGATGGCTAACCAGAGGTAAAATTAGCTTAAATCAAAAATCAGTACAGAGAATAACACTGCCCACGCTCCTGGGAACCATGTTCTGCTGATCGTTTCAGTTCAGTATTTGCCTCTGCATTCCATTCTTAATTGTTATAGGGCAGGGATCAATGTTCCCTTCTGTGTTTATGTAATATTTTGCACACTTTGGGCACTGCCAAAACCAAATGATAAATACCTGGTCAGCCAAGGAGATCTGCTTAAAGGCAGTTAGTGCACCATAGTCTTGTTAATGATCAGCTGCCAGTAAACAGGTCTCTTGGCAAAAGTTTACGCTGTGAACTGTAATCATGTGCTGCTGAATTATTCACTTGATGTACATCAGCACATTTGTAACCTGAGAGCTGAAACCATTTTTTTTACCTGTAAATCTCAGATTTATTGCTACTCACTCTCTTCATCCAGGTAGCCTTTAGAGTTAGAGGACAAAGCCTACCTGAAGCCACAGTCCCTTGTCTTTTTTACAAAAAACAAACCGCTGAACCAGTGAGGGTCATCACTGGAAAATGCAGTGAACAAATCACTGACAAATCTCCTGTTTTCTGATTGAGACAAACCCAGCCTACAGGCAGAGTCACAACCTTCAACTGTAGAGTAAGAGAAATGGGAGCCAATACTAAGGAAAGGTCAGCTCCTTGGTCTGTGGCTACTCATTTACTAGACGGGACTTGAAACTAAGGAAATGGATTTCTCCATTTACTGTAAAAAAAAAAATAATAATAATAACAATAATTAAAAAAAAAATCACTGACTGCACTGGAAGATGTATGTTACTTTTGTGTCTTGATGCAGTTTTAAGTTGATTTGCTGTATAAACTACTGATTTTGAGTAGTAGCAATACTGTCCTTAAATGCACATGAAATTTTATCTGCGTGGATTAAATAATTTGGCACTAATCCTGCAGATACTGGAGGCTGAGCTTATCTGAGTGTCCATGTGCATGCATGCAGACCTGCAGGACTGTAACCTACAGATGTAAACTATGAGAAGTCATGACAAGTCCAATGCTTGCCAGTATTCTGTAGCTTAAGGACCATCTAACTAGGAGGAAAAACAGCAATCAGGACTGAATTTTAGCTTGGACTGTCTTCATAGATTTTCCTGGGAGCAGAATGCATGATTTCCAGGCAAAGTTTGGACGATTCTAATTTTTGGTTTTTAGCTACCACTGGGAATTCACTGCCTGCTATCTTTGGATGTAGGAGAGCTGAATATGTCCTGCAGTGCTACTGGGTATGTCCTCTAAGTGCTACTGAATACTGTGGCTTAATCTGCCCTTCCATATAAAACAGTTGTGAAAACAATGCTAATTGAAAAAGGTAAAGCCCTTTCAGTCTTACAACTATAAAACTTGAAATGTAGGCCCTTAGGTTAGAAGCAAACAGGATACAAAGCCAAGCAATTCTTCAATAATCCTACCTCATACTTCAACAAACAAACAACAACAACAAAAAAAAAAAACGCAACAAAAACCCACAAACAGAAAGACCAAGGAATGATTTAATATTTTCTGTGTGAAAATGAATAGCACTGAAATTAGGATCTAATAGCCCTTTCTTCAGTCTTCCAGACTTTCATGATACCTGATATGCTGAATGGCTGAAAACAGGTGTAGCCTTGGTAGCAAACCAATCCACCTGGTCAAGATCCAAGATTTTCAAAAGGAACAAAGTGACTTCACTTCATGTGGGTGCTTTCTGTAAATGAGCTACTTTAAATTATCTAGATTGGAAAAATCATTTGTCACTTCTGAACACCTTTGCTTTAAGTGCAGATCTGAAGATAAGCCTGCTTCTGTTCCTTTTTCTAATCTGAGTTTGTGAGGTGCTTCACGTGTAAATCCAGGGAGGACTGCTGCCATCAGCATTTCAACTGTATCTACAACGTGCAGTACAGAGCTGAATCTGAAAGACAACTATGTGATTATGAAATCTATTTTACTTCATAATGTGAGTTTTGAGCAACAGTAAAAGATTTTCCCTGCTAATTGTTTTTAAGAAATAAACAGCAATTAGTGACAGGGAGAGAGAAGCAGAGGAATACAAAGGGGGAGGCAATCCCTCATGAAGATGCTAGACTCTTAAAACCAAAAAGCTGCAATGCATGCAGTTCTCAGCTGATGTGGAAGTCTTCTTTCTAATTACATGCCCAGATTAGATTTAAAAAAGATGGTTAAAAATCAACCGAATCCTACTTACACCACTTAAACAATAAACACTCTGGTAACATTATGTCAAATGTATGACCAGAATTAACCCTGTGTATGACCGTGAGGCACGTGGCAAGGGATGGCTACCACTCAGTTCAAGGTTTCTCCAGTTCCTGTTTCCAGTGGTGCAGGTCTTGAGTTTCAAATGAAATTAATAGACCTGAGGGCAAAAAATCCATGACACTCACTAGTAAAAGGGTGTTATCACTGCAAACAGTAACAAATGCAATACATTTTCCCTCTTCTCAAGACTATATTTAAAATGACTGAACTGGTCCAACCCTGCCTGACAGCAAGTCAGATATCAGCGTGATATCGCTCAGGGTGATTTTGCTATCTGTTAAAATGATAACTTAAGAAAATGGAAAAAAAAAACCAACCTGAGAGAAGGCTGCCCTTCCTGGGCCTGTTCCATTACTAGCTAGCAATCCACATGCCCTTGGACAGATGACTGCTATTTGGTCCTGTATTATGGGTATTTTGGAAACTGAAATACCTTTATCAAAGACATTCCTTGTCACTTCTAGGCTTTCTGGTCACTTGTGGAGCACTGAGGATTTGAAGAGACGCTGTCAAGCGTGCCTATTCTAGAAGTAACCTTTGCCAACAATTCCATGCTAAGTGCTTCAGTACTTTGGATGTGAGGCAGTCTTTTCCAGCCATCTGCCTCCTACCCTGCATCACCAGTTCAAAGTTTCTTTTCCCATGTCGTTCCTGGCATGATGGTTACAGAAAAGGAAATGGCAGGGAAAAATGCTGATTATGTTTTTACAAAGGGCCTAACTTTCAGGACTACCTCTCAGAAGTCCCCTTATTAAAAAAAGAAAAAAAACAAACACCAAAGCAACCAGGATTGTGTCTAACTAACTTCTACAAAATGGCTGGTTTCACAGGAGGAGGAGAATATGGCTACTGTGCTACTCAGCATTAGGGTAAAGCACCATCTAAATTCCAGTAAAGTCAGGGATTTCACCTAGCTCGTATCAGCAACCACACCCCCAGCCTTCTACAACGTCTTTGCTGTCAAGCTTGATGCTGTCAGTATTCTTCTCACTGAACATTGGGCCTCCATGCCTCATCATGAGCTCTGTAGCCATCTTCACAAAAGCCTCCTCCACGTTGCTGGAGTCTTTTGCAGAGGTCTCTATGGCACAGATGATATTATCATAGTGTTCAGCCAGACTCTGAGCTTCTTCCAGCTGAACTTCTCGAAGGTCACTTAGGTCAGACTTATTTCCTAGAAATAAGAAAGAGAAATTTATGATGACTGTTTATGCCAGAGCTAGAGTTTGGTAGAAGGTTGTCATGTCACCAAGAGCAGCTGCAGAATTTCCATTCTCGGAGATTTTCAAAATTTAACTGAAAAGGCCCTGACCAACCTGACATCAACCTTGCTTTCAGCAAAAGGTTGGACTAGGTAATCTCCATAAGACCCTTCCAACTTGTATTTCGGTGTGACTCATATATAGAACAAAAAAAGTCAACAACCAAAGTGACAGGATTGAAGAGCAATGGCTGGAGAAAGAAAAGTGGGTTAGAAATCAGAGCTAAAATCATTTTGTGAGAAAAAAAAGAAAAGAAAGACCCACTGAAAACAACAGCAGTCTTCTGGTTCCTAAGGACATCTGGGATACTGAAGTACTAACAGATTCACAAGCCTCAAAAATGGTGTCTGAGTCAGAAACACTGGAGCTGGGAGGCAGTATTTCAAATAGGGAACTGATGGATTCTAATTGCACTGAAGTTCTTCCAAAATCTTCGGTCTGCTGAAGGATGTGGGTACACTGGTCCATCAAAACACGACTGCTTGATATGATGGAACTTCCTGCCCTAGAAACTTTACAGTTGTACTCATCAGAATAGCTATATAGCAGCTCTCCTTCAGAACCTGGGTATTTGGGTACTTACTTCACCACTAAGTGAGACACAAGGGTTTAAAAGCTGGCTTCTGATACAGAGCTGCCTAACGCTTAAAAGAACTTAATCAAAGCAGACAGGCTTCTTAAGCATATTTGCCTGATGAATCAGCACTTTCTGATTAAAAAAAAGAAAAAAAAGAAAATTTCCAATCAGCTCTATTATGTACATTTTGATTTCAAGCAAAACCAAAACTTTCAACCATCAATACGTACTGCCACATTGCCCAGCATCCTGTAGTACTGAGTATTAATATTTTCAGTCTGTGATTTTGACTCACCAATCAGTAACTGCACAATGTTGGAACCAGCATACTTTCTCACATCCTCGATCCAGCGAGGAATGGACAGGAAGGAGCCTCTCTTGCTGATATCATAGGCTAGGATTGCTCCGTTGGCGCTGCGGTAATAACTCTGTGTGATCGTTCGGAATCTCTCCTGGCCAGCTGTGTCCCAGATCTGCAACTAAATAAAACAAAGCATGCAATGACACACTGGCTAGTAAAGGTTTTAAAATACATTAAGTTCTCCTGAGTCAAAAGATAGGACTTGATTCAATCACCTTGTCATAAATCTCCCTTATGTGTAACACACTGTGGCATTATACTTTTCATGTCCTTTGATCATGATTTAAGGATAACAGTGTATACTGGAGAACTTTTCCATACTTGGCTGCCTGAACTTGGTATCTGCACTGAGATGCTTTGGGTTCCAGCCAGCGAGCTCTGATGCAGTCTGCTGCAGCAGACTATGAAATTATCACTTTGGAGTGTTTAGACCTATGCCTCTGTCCCCTTCAGATACAAAGAGCTTCCAGACACTTTGCTTTTAGGTGGTAGAACAGACTTCATATGGGAAGGAAGAACAAACGCTCAGCTGATGTACTTTTGCCTCAATCCAGTAGTGTAAAAACTATAGATTTAGTGTCAAGTTTTGAGTTCCCAGTACTAGATGTTCCAGAGGAAGAAGCCAAATAAAGAGAGAGAGTGCACAAATATAATATCCTGCTCATATGGAAAGTTTATTTTTAAATCCTCTTGTTTTGCAGGTTGTCTAATGTCCTGGAACATGACAGCTTGTATCATAGGAGCTTTTAATGTAAATTAACTGTGGATTCTCATTCTCCATATAAATCTCTAATTCTTTCTGAATCCTTCACAACTCTTGGGTGCAAGCAATAGTAATAATGGAAGCAAAGATTTGTTTTTTAATAATTTTAAATTTCACTTCCCCTCCTCCTCATTCCCAAACAATGATAAATGAGTACACCATTGCTTTTTTGTGTGCATGTGTGTGTTTGTACAATTCATTACATTCTGTATCTCCTCTTAATTGGATCGGACATAAGTAAATACTCTTGAGTCTTATTCCTTATTGTGGACCTTTTGTTAATTTGTTCCCCTCTCTGAACCTCTTTCTTTTAAAAAGCTGGTAGTAACTTCAGTGATGTTTTACACAGAGCAATACAGAGCCAGATTCAATGTATTTATTTTACAAATCAGTATTTTGTTTCTATCATCTGACTCTGCTGCATGAAAGGATAAGACTTCAAGAGGTGCCTGGGTGAGGAGCTACAGGATAGGGTTTAGTAGCTTGTGCTAGCAATAGTAATGGGAGGACAGTTGGACCAGATGATCTTGTAGGTCCTTTCCAACCTTGTGATTCTATGATTCTATGCTCAAGCAGAAATTTTCATTTTGAAAAAGGCTGTATTGATCAGATAACGTTCCCACGCTAAGTAAGCATTTAGATCTCAAACAATGTATGTACAGCTTAAAAGGAATCGATTCAGTGAAGAAGTACTTCTCAGTTTTGATAAGTTTTCTCAGAGAAGGGAAAGGGACTGTAATGGACTCAAGAAACCACAAAACCACACTTATTATTGGAACTGTTAATGATCTAGAGAAGCAAGCAGACAATTACTTGATAAGGAAGTTAATGGCAGGCTTTTTATGTTCTCTGTACTCAAGTCTCCCACTAGACCTTTTTGTTCTTTATGTAGTTTAAGTTTCAGCTCTTAAGGTCATGTGCAAAATAAGGCTAATGATGATTACCCAACTCCTGGGAGGAACTGAGAGATATTACACATATAGAAGACTTAAAATATTTTTTTTAATAAAAACTTTTCATGTGGTATAAAATGATTTACCTGCAGAAAGACTAAGCAAGCTGGTCTTGGGCCTTATGCCATATACTGAATTTCGAAACCATCTCTACATGTACCTTCCATAGAATCACAGAATCATGGAAGTTGGGACACATTTGAAGAGTTGACAGAGACAACCACCTGCTCAAAGTGAGATCAAAACTTAATTCTCTGAGGAGGATTTGCTCCATAATTTTCTGAGTGACCAAAATGAATCTGATCAGCCTGTAGTTGTCAGCATTTCTTGCTCTTTCTGAACTCGAGTATGACCTGGTGTCTCTGATCCTCACAGATTTCCACAGTTGTTCCACAGCAGTACAGCAACATCACAGTGACATCAGGAAGCTCTTACAGCACTCCCAGACATTTTTTACTCAAGTGTTTATGTCTGTGTTTCCACAGGACTAAATGTACAAAGTTGCTGAAGCTCTGAATCTCTGCTGGGAACAGCACAGACCACAGGCTTGATCTTCTGAGGAGCTCAAACAGCAATCTTCCTCCCAGCCCATGTGCTCCAGGTAGGTTCTCATAGAATTCTGATGCTTGTGCTTCTCTAATTGTCATTTCTCTTTTATGTAAAGACAGAATCATTCAGCTTTTTGTGAGATCTCATTTATTGTGGGTTTTTTTCCAACGCTGAAACTACAGTATGTGTTAGCTCTATCTCTGTGCCATAACCCATAAGCATACATACCACCTGACAGACCTTTCTGTCGCTGCTCCCGTTGCTTCTTGCAGAAGGAGCTAGGTGAGTGATCACTCTATTTCAAACAAAGTCAGGCAAATAAGGACATGATTTGCTTAAGCTAAACTAAGGCTACACCGTCATCAAAGACTTGCCCTCCCAGCTGCATAACCTTGCCCTCTTTGTGCTAGCAGCTGCTAATCTGACTCACTATATGGCTTCACTCACAAATGTACCTAAAAAATAAGGATTTTTCTTTCGTTTGAAGAGTTAACACTTTGTAGTCAAAATCCCTGGAGATTTTCAAGACCAGACCAGTTTAGACCCTGAACAACTTGGTATGTTCTCAAAGCTGACTAGTTTGATCAGGAGGCTGGATGAAAGACATGAAGTTATTTCAACCTGCAATACTCTTGATTCTATGCTTTTAGATTTAAAAACGCATATATATCTGCCTGAAAATAAATGATGGCAGGCAATCATGTTTAACAAAGCCAATTCAAAGAAACCTGCTTTGCACTTAGAAGAGTAGATCAACCCTAATACACAGGTTGCACAGTCAATTCTTGTTATCTGAGAGCATGTGCACAGGACTCTTATGGTTCTGCTGAGAAAACATTAGGCAAAATATAGGAAAACATTCCATGTATTTATATGCACCCATGCTCCTTGGATGGTAAGATAAGCCAAATGCTTTGTAGGCACTTCAGATTTTCTGCAGATGTTTCAGATTTATAGTGTTTGTACTGTTTATTTGATCTATCAATGTGCACGAGTCTGATATATCTAAACCAAACCTGCACTGTGTTATGGAACTGTAAATAAACAGCCATTTTTATGGGACTCGTGGAGTTACTTTACCAACCTGGTTATCTGAGGTGTGCTGCTTTAACTAAGATGCACACACATTCAGAGTATGTGAAGAAGGAAGATGGAGAACCCATATGGAGTTACGAACTCCAGCAAATCACACATGCCTTTAAGTCAGAAGGTGGTAAAATATATGATGGCTTTCTGGAAAATCATTCTTGATTGTCTGATTAGGCTCAAAGAAAGCAGAGTTTCAACCACAGAAACTGACCACGTTGAAAATGGTGAGTGATAGACTGACCAAAGAGCACAGTAAATTAGTGTTATCAAATGATTTAATTTGGACTTGCCTTGCATTGATAAACATACTGTTTATCAAAGGTTAATGCTTAACAACTGGCCTCAGGACTATTTAAATAAATTCCCCTTCCCTTATTTCCTACATAATTTATAAAGTACTTTTCCAGTTCTTCTAAAATACTGCAGGAGTCCAGGTTTACCTTTGTTTGTGAAGCAGCATTAACAATAACTAGGAGTCCCGCAGTCAATAACTTCTATTACAAAGATAGAAATGTCATTTTATGTTATGAATTCTTCAAAATATAGCAACTTCCTTAAATTTTCCCAGCACTAAATGGTGGATGCAAAATCTCTGCTAAATGATTCTAAACCAATAGGCTGTGTCTAACAAATCACAACATTACTCCTAACAAGTCTTACTGAAACAATCTTGCAACTTTGACAGAAGCACAAAAAACAAGCTCTGTATAGCAATATATTTAAAGTAACATTCACACATGCAACAGGTATGATAAACTGATCCTCTTGATTATTTTCACTACAGAATTTTCAGAGAATGAAGAATCACTGTTTGCTAAGCATTCTGCATTCCTGTTTGCTCTCGTGTTAGGAGTGTCAAAGTAGTTGAGAAGAGAGCTATACTTTCCTCTGAATATCAGATTACTGCTTCCATGTAATAACCAATTGATTTGGTGTTTTTAGCAGTGTTAGTAAATGCAACTCTTTCTTCCATCTTCCTTTCATTCCTATCTTTGATTTTTGTCTTCTTCCTCAAATATTACGCATTTCCCATTTTATTCTTTCTACTATATATGATACCATTGCACACTAAATTTGGGATTTATTTGGAGTCGACTCTCCCATCAGTCAGGAGGCAAGACAGCTAACAAGCTGTAATTTTATATTACTTGCAATTTGGCCAGATAATAACACATTACATTATGAACAGAATATACATATGTTGCTCTGAAAGCAGTGCTTCCTATTTATTTCCACAGAAACGACAACACATACAAGGAGCACAATACCACCATTTGATAGTGTCAATTCTCAGCTACAAAATGCTCTTTCTCAACACAGGCACCACCATTAGCTGTGCATTTTCATTAGTGATGAACAAGAGCCTGCATGCCACGCTCATAAAAATAATGCACAAGTGGAGGTGACCCACAGTCACAGTGGCCACTGTTAAAAATGTACCACCCACCTCACCACTGTGCTCACACCCACTGTTTGTCTCCATAAGCGTTCAGCAAGTGTTGATGAATGTTAATTTGTACAATTTTTTCTGCATGGAGGAATTCAGATCCACTCCCTTGCTTCATACACGCTTCCATGTCAGACACCATTCTGTCAGGCTGCCCCTCTGCTGCCATCTGTCACATGGCGACAAAAGGTAACGGAGTACTGGTGGGGAAGGTTCAGCCTCCACTTCCATACCACCACCATCTGCCTCTGACATTGTGGGCCAACATAATAAAATAGGAGGCATTACTTTCAGAGCAGCCCTCCTGTTTACAGCCATAAAGTCTGAATAAAAGGCCAGAACCTTCATAACATATGGACTGAAAAAGCCTGTAAGTTAAAGAGTGCAGTGGTACATGAAGAAGTATTTGTTTTAAAATGAATGTTTGTTTTCAACAATTCTCTTCTGCTGCTTTTCTGAAGACACAGTAAGAGAAAAAAATATAATGGAAAAAAATATTTGCTGTATGTAAAATACTTTAAAATGGCAGCATGAAATAGACTTTAAAGATACTCCATTAATTCATCAGTCCACAAGGAGGTTCATGAAAAGAAATGGAATTTTGTTATTTCTAACCACAAATCACAAACTTGGACTTAGGAATATCCTTGATTTTCATTGTGCAAAATCTCAGTTCCAGTTTTATATTTTCTTACAATGACATAACTGTTAAAAATTTTTGTTCTGTTTGCCACATTCTTTCTATCAGTCAAAGAACAAAGAATTATTTTATCAATAGGATTTTAATTACTATGCATTACACCAACAACCATGACTTTTGGGAACTATGCTCTCTGTTATCTAGGGTTTAGTTTGCTAAGGAGAGAGCATGTAATAAACCACAACTGCAGCTTATAAGACAGCACACAATAAAGCATTTTTGTTCATGAAGATAGCTTTACGAAATCAACAGTAGAATGGCTTAAGTTGGAGGGGACCTTAAAGATGATGTATTCCAAGCCCCCTGCTATGGGTAGGACTGCCAGCCACTAGATGAGGCTGCCCAGGATCCCACCCAACCTGGCCTTGAATGCCTCCAGCAGTAGGGCATCTCTGAGCAAAAAATGTCTTCTCAACATCTAACATCTCCCCTTTTAGTTTGAAGCCACTCCCCCTTGTCCTGTCATTATCAGACTTTGTAGGAAGTTGGTCCCACTACTGATCGTAAGCTCCCCTCTTGGAAGGCCAGTGAGGTCTCCCCAGAATCTTCTCTTCTCCAATCTAAACAAGCCGAGCTCCATCAACCTTTCATCACAGGAGATAGAGGTGCTCCAGCCCATTGATCATCTTCAGTGCTCTCCTCCAGGCACACCTCCAGCAGTTCCACATCCCTCCTGTACAGGGAGTCCCAGGCTTGGACACAGCATGGAGCCTCACGAGGGCAGAGTAGAGGGGGATGATCATCTCCCTGCTGACACCCCTCTGTGGATACTGTTGGCCTCTGAACAGTGAGAGCACACAGCTGGCTCACATCCAGCTTTTTGTCCATCAGGACCCCCCCAAGTCTTCTTTGTAGGGCTCTTCTCAAGGAGTTCTTTTCCCATTCTGTATACATATCTGGGATTGCCTCAACCCAAGTGCAACTTGGAAATCAAGATGGTAATCACATGCAGTTTGGATTTTGACATTCCATTAGAACCCAACCTGCCACATCCCCACGTGGCTCTGTGTGACATGGTCTGCTTTTTAGCCCATGGCTCACAGAAGCCTGTCCCAAGATAGCTGGCTCATTTAATCCACTGGACAGTATCTCAAACTGCAAACAGAAATCTTAAAGAAAGTACAAAAAAAGAAACAGACTCGTTGGCACAGAGAGTGTACTTGTTCTTCCTCTCTGGAAGTGGTAAATCTCTGCAAATCTGTGATACCACATACTGGGGATTCTTACACTACCAGTTCTTTATGTTTTGTTACTACAGAGAAAGTTTCAGTTACCAGGACCATCTGTGAATAGCTTCTTTCTCCGGCCTCTCTTTATGTATGATGCTTAGTCAGCTTCAGTAGCTGCTGAAGCACTGGTGTATGAGATGTCATTTGAGACATTTGAAAGAATACAGCTTTAAGATGAAAGTCTTGTTTGAGTTAGGAAAAAAAAACATTATCTGCAGATCCTTCAACTTTACTCCCCCAACACGTTTCTTTTCCCCTATTCAACAAAAATGCATCTAAAGGAAATCAGACTTAAAATCCTTGGGCTCCAGCTATTTCAGGCACATATAACGGTAGTGAAAACATTCAAGGTTTGACACAGAAAGGAACACTAACACAATTAACTTGAAAATGTTTGTTTGAATCTCAAAATAAGTGTCTGATTCATACTCACTCAGCTGTGTTGAAATACTATCCTTAGCCCAACTAAAAATGAAGCACAGGCCACTGGGGATGTGGAGGAGGTAGTGTCCAAATGCTCCTTGGGACTTTTTTGGACACGCTGTTGCTCTGAAAGAACTTCTAAAGATGATCCAGTTAAAAAAATGGATTTTCTCATTTGTGCACCATTTGCTGAACACAAAACAAGCCTTCTCATTCCTTAGGAAGATTCTGCCTTGAGTAGCATAAATCCACAATGAAGTTGGAGCTGCACAGGGACATCGCCTGGCATGCATTGTAAGGGTCTTAACAATCAAACTTTATTTTAAACACATCTTGGATGCTTCTTAATTTGAGGAACCCCAATTAACAACTTATGTGAAACACTTTTAAGCAAGTGTGTCTCACGCGACTGGCACAATGAGAAGTTGCTCTTGTGGAGAACATGTGCAGGCTTGTTTGCCAACACCTTAGGATGTGACCTGTTCGGACAGCTAAAGAACTCTTCCTAGCATCAGTAAAACCTCCAGCACAACCACACCTGTACAACGGGTCAGACACACACACCTGACACTGAATTTAACTACTAGAGAAGGGAGCTCACAACAGTGTAAAATAATGCCTCCTTATTTTCTTTTTCCTATGAAACGCAGAGCAAACCTTTCTACATCAGATGGTCTGCTCTGAAATCTCAATCCAACTGGAAAAGCCTGACTGAAATTTAACCTTTGCATATAATTCACACCTTAACAGAGCAAACAAAAAAAAACCAACCAAAACTCCAAGCAATGTTTTCATATTCTAGCTGCGGCCCTGGCTCGGCAGCTAACAAAAACACTTACAAGGTAAATCAGCAGCAATATTGGATCAATTTGCCTAAATTTGTGCTTAGAATAACATTCTTCAGCCTGTGCACCCCTGAATTTTTCTAAGCAGAAGTACAGGACAATCTTAAGCAAAAGGAAGCCTCGAGAGGCCTACATTTTCTTGTCTTCTGTAAAGTACTGAGTAATAATCCACAGGTTTTGCTACAGACTGGCAACTAACGCAGGGATACTCAAGCTTAAGTACTGCCAACATGGAAGAGCACACCTAGGGAGTTAGCTTTATTTCCAGGGCTAGTCGTCTCCTAGTCGTGAAGTCCCTAGCTGAGACCCCTGGCACCAGTAACAGATACGTGTGTCAATCTGTGTGGCATCTAAAGTCAGCCTGGTTTCAGTGTGCGAGGAGAAACCTCTCTACTAGCTGCTCACTTCCTGGAAAGCGCAGAAGAGCACAAGCTGAGCATCTGTGTTTCCTGTTCAGCAGCTAACCTCATATGTCATAGAAAAGGTGGAACACCACAAAGAAAAGAGATATCTTTGCTAGGTCTTGGACTTCTCATCTTTTTGTAAAAGGTGAGCCTTCATTTCTTCCATTTTCTAGAACTTTATCTGCTTAATATTCTGCTCACCACAATTAATTTGTAAGAAAAAAACGACAGAGAACTTTCACCCCTACTTTGTTAAACACAGAGCAAAATTCAGCTGCAATTATCGTATTTCTTTCCATGTTTCATTTCAAAAGCTTTACAGTTTTACGGTCATTTTCTGGGCAATGACTGAATTTGTTCTTTTTAGTCCCACTGGGAGTAAGCAGAGATAGCTGTATGTCCTCATTCCAGAGGGGAACAGCACAGGTTTTTGTACCGCAGCCCCCCACAAGTTGCTGTGTGCTTCAGCCTCTCTTTCCTACTGCCTGACAGCATTCCTGCACCCAGAGGTCAGGTCTGTTGTACGGAGTTTGTGCCACGGAGTAAGGATAACTTCACTGGGTAAAAATCGGGTCTACCCAAACAATTAGCTAATTTTCTATAGCACGAGAGGAGCAGAAGTCAAATTTAGGGTTGGTTTTTTTTTTTTTTTTTTTTTTTGGATTTGAGAACTATAGAAGCTGCACTTTCTAGCACACTCCATTAACAGTGCCTTAAGACAACTTTTAAATATATCTAATTTAAAAAGTGTTGCCCGCCTCCTCGGAGGCTGCCAGCTCCAAATCCCGTTCTGCAAATAGAACACCGCAGCCGAGGTTCTTTCTGGTTTGTAAACAAACCACCGCCGGTCGCCCGGCTGGAAAGAGCGGCACCGCTGTTAAAGTACAACCCAGCAGAGCGTCCTGGGGCGCGGGTTTGCAGCTGGGCTTCTCCCAGCCGGGAGCCGAGTGGTTACACAGCTGGTCCCACTGCAGTTAGAGAAGTTAATATATAGGCTCCGTTCAGCCTAGTGCCCGAGGCCGTTTGGGAAGGAGGCACCGGAGATGCGCAGCCCTTCCTCCAAGCACAGCAGCACCGCAGGGATGGATAAGTACACAGTGGGCTGGGGAAGCCGGCAGCGGGCCGGGCAGCCCTGCGGCAGCCGAGGGCTGTGCCGAGCCGAACCGAGCCGGCCGCAGTTCCCCCCGCAGTTCTTCCCGCCGGGCCGGTACCGCAGCACGGGGTAGCGGCCGTCCCTCGGCCTCGCCGCTCACCTTCACCCGCTTGCCCTGGATCTCCAGGCTCTTCATGGTGAAGTCCACGCCGATGGTGCTGCCCTGGCGCTCCGCAAAGGCCCCTGTTTTGAAGCGCTGTACGAGGCAGGTCTTGCCCACGCTGGCGTCCCCGATGAGCACCAGCTTGAAGAGGAAGTCGTAGCTCTCCTCGGGGTCGGGGCCGGACCCCGGCGCCGCCGGGCCGGGCATGGCGCCGCCGCCCTCGGCCTTCCGCCCGCCGCCGCCGAGGGGAGCCGGGCTCTGCGCAGCGCCCGCCGCCCCCCGCCGCGCCGCCCGGCCCCGGCCTCAGCCTGGTCCCGCCCCACGCCCGCCTCCCTCCGCTCGCCGCCTCCGGCCACGTCCGGCCGGGCTGCTGGCGGGGCGGCGTCGCTCCCGGCTCCGCCGCAGCCTCGTTTCGCTCGACGGCCTGTGGCCGCCCCCGAGCCGCTGCTGGGGCCTCGGTGGGACTCGGGTCGCGGTCCCACCGACGAGTGGCACGAAAACGTCAGCTGTCACGGGTAGCTGTGGGCTGCCGGTCGCTGCCGCTGGGGAAGCTACGCGTGCAAGTGTCCTCATTTGTTTGGAGTGACGTTTTCCCGATACGTTATTTCTGGCCCGTTTACAGTTACATATGCGCTGAAATAAGCAGGTGCAGTTGCACCATTAAGTCATCCGGGAAGTGCAGCCGATTTACTTCATCTTGCTTTTCATTTTTCGGCCTGAGCTGGGGTGTGGTTTGTTTCCAGAGTTCCAGCCCAAGGCTCGGGGCGATGGTTTCTCCCTGCACGGTGCTGTGCCACTCATCTTTCAGTCTGTTAACATCATGCTAAGTGTCTGACATGTGACACGTGTCTGTGCGGTTGTGTATCGCCTTATAAATTGGCTGTGCACTAAGAGAAATTGTCTCAGCAATCTGGTGTTGCATTTTAACTGCTACCTAGCTTATCTGCAAAACAAGCTGCTGTTTAATAGATACTCCCTTTTAGATTATGTAATGAGTCAAGATGCTAATAATAATAAGTTTTGCTAATACTTTGATACAGCGCTTCTTGATACTCCGTTCTTTGTTTTAAAAAAAAAAAAAAAAAGCCAAATTCTCTTCTCAGTTTGAATGGACAGAATTGTGAAATGGAGTATATTAATGGTAGCATTGCTGAATGAGAGGTGCATTTTTCTTAGATAGCTCTGCAGGACAGCTGGCCACAGCTAGCTTTGTGACTGAGCTAACATAGGCCAGCTTGGATTACTCTGAGTCAGTGGATTTTTGGGTAGCTTCGTGGTTATTCCTTTTCAAGTTCCTGTTTGGCAATCCATAGTAACCTTCTAGTGTGAGCAGACATGTGAGTACTTGGTTGGGCTTTGTTTCAGGTAGTCTGCAGCTGTGAATTCAACAGGCCACTGACTTCTAGTCTGTTGATCAGCCAGGACAAAGTGTTAGAAGAAAGAAGACATCACTCTCACATTAATTAGCACTTCTTATGTTTTCAGTGTCTAAGCAAGGCACTTCAAAGTATTTTTATTTAGGAAGATATATTCATAGAGATTTAATTCTTAATATTTAGAATTAATTGTACAATCTCATTTTAGTGCAAATAATTATACTACCTCCACTGAGATAATTACATGACCAAGTCTTCCTCTGTCTTTGCTATAGATCATACATATTACATCGGCAGTCACTGTTGCTTGTCTTAGTTAGCTTTTAGAATCAGTTAAAACAAAGAATTGCCCAAACGCAGTCTTCTGACTTAATGTTTTCTGTTGCTATGCTTGTGTAGAAGGTTTTTTGTTACTTTTCAAATTGTGAAAGCTGCAAATAGTGGTTTGAATGTTGAAACACTTGTCTTTGATCCCCAGGTTCTACTGAGGATTAGCACTTATTGCATGGAAAGCTTAGGAGAAGCAAGGGTTTGAGCCAATTTCAATTTGTATCTGCCTGTGTACTTGAGAGTCATTCATCAGACAAGAGCAGAATGATAGAAAAAAAGCACCAGAACATGGTGGGAGGATCCCCTAGGCTGGCCTTCCTCACAATCCTTTTCTCTCAGCTAACTCAGTTTAAGAAGCAGTCCAATTTCTCATGTCTAATAAAGAGGTTGAGTTGCAAAGCCTTTGTTACAGGTGCAAGATTGCTTGCGCATTTCCACATTTGATAATGGAATTTGGTTGGTGGTTATATTTCAGAGCAACTGCTTGAGATTTGAAGTTACAAAGCAAATTAATTAAGTTCTGACCCTTCTAATAAATGTATATGGTGACTTTACATGAAATGCTGTGGAAGAAAACCCACAGAGGAATCCTAAAATATACTACACAGTCTTCTGATGCACTGCTGCTGGTATTACAGACTATGCTCTATTATAGAAATGAATTGTTCTGAGTTTTAGCTAGAATAATTTTGTAGTATTATATTATTTAGTAATTCATCCTAAACTGAAGGATATGCTGATGTAAGTAAATTTGTATCCAGTTTAGCAGCTCCTGATCCTTGCTAGTTTAAAATACTAGATTTAGATTTAATTTGTTAATGTTCGACAGCCTTTTTGAGAAGAAAAAAAGCAATTATGAAATTTTTTTGAGTGTTTGATATTTACAGAAGAGAGGAGATTTTGTACGTGGATAGGATGGAGACCTTTTAATTCATTTGCAGAGGGCCAAGACAAATATTAATAAAGTTACCTTGAGGTCTCTCACCAGTACAGCAGAAGAATCAGTTGACAACACAGCCTCTGTTCTTCCAAATCTGTATGTTTGCACTGCATGAGAAATAATGAGGGAACTGCATGTAGGTGGGGATGTTCTTTAATGTAATGGTAATAATCACAATTAATTGGGAAGCCCCAAAGTTTTAGAATGGTTTTGTCCTGGAGAGTCTTAAGTGCTTTGTTCCTCAAAACCACCGTGGTTCCTGCATTAGGAGGCACTAGGAAGACTCCTGGAGTCCTGAAGAGTGATGGACCATGTAGTGCTTGTGGCCTATTCTAAAGAATTGTTGTTTTTGCTTGGCATTCTCTTATCATTGTGGCAGTGAAGCTGTCAAGTGGTAAGGAAGTTGCTGACTTAGTAAACAGGGAAGAATTTGGTGGCTGGAACTCCTCCAATGAAGAATTTTTGCATTCTTCTTGTACGTTTGCAGAGCCTTATCTTGCTCTGAGAAAATGTTCAGAATGTTCAGTGTCTCCTTCATCATCATCATAAGCGATGTAACTAATGTTACACAGCTGCTAGGCAGAGTGTACCTCTTCGTCTTATGTGACGTGTTTGTTACCCAAGGCAAGTGCTGAGTTTATCAGCCAAGCTGCAGAGCAAGCTGGTAAAAAATAAAAAAAGCCTTCATGTGGTTTTTGAACTTACTGTTTTGAGTATTAGAAGCCATAAGCTTTCATATATCTGTGTGATATCATGTGACAATCCGCATGATTGTGGATACTGGGTTAATTGTCATTTAAAATTCCAAATTCGTGTACATAGCTTAATCATCTGTATGAATGCAGTGCAGATTCTCCTCTGTTAAGTTTCCGAAGGCTTTTATCTGTCTTAGTCACCCATCCATTTTCCTTGTCTGTTTTCAGGAGTGTAAGAGAGGATGTTCAGCTTCAGAAACTTTTCCTGTTATCAGAACAGATTTCTTAAAACACAGCTGTTAATCACAGTTTCATGCACCAAAGGGTTGCTGATGAAACTGAAAACCTTGGTACCTCTCAGTCAGACTGGGCAAGTCACCACAGACCAGAGCCTAATTCCTGGTATCTTTGTGTGGTTCCTTGAGTTGATTGTTGACCTCTACCATCATCACTGCAGACTGGAGGTGCCACTTCAGGACTGTAGGGCAAGGGGAATACTGAAATCCCTTTGAACAGTGTGTGTTCCCATTAGTATTCCCCTTTTTTTTTCCAACTTCAATCCAAATCCCATGGAACAGCAGTGTGTACATGTATAGACACTACCAGTTGGTCCACGTGTGCACATTCCCAAAATGTTGCTTGATGTGCTCAGTAAAGAAACAGCTGGAAATCTGCATGGTTCATTGACTTTGATTCTTCTAGGCGAGATTAATGTGGTGCATGTAAATTCACCAGACATCCTAACAGCAGCGTTCTTGCAGTATCTGTATGTCCGTCTGCGACGTGTCAGAAGAGTTGGAGTTCTTGATGATAATTTCTGTCTTCCCTGGTACAGATTTCTGGGCGAGCTGAGGCTGTCCTGAGCAGATCCAACATGCTTCTGGCTCACAGCTGCAGCCCCAGGCTGACAGCTTGTCTTGTGTCTCTGTTTTAGCAGCTGTGCTGTCGATATTTTTCCACCAATCACCACATGCTGTTTTCTTCAATTTCTTTGCTTTATTTACTTAATCTACATTTATTCCCTCTTTATTTTATTGTAGTTTGATAGCATGATATTACAATGGTAAAGCGGTTATTCAAATTATGATTTGCATTTAAGCTCTTCAAGACTTTGGAGGATGGAAGAAAGAAAATGCGGGAAGCTTTAATGTAAAGATGGAGCTGTGACTTTGGGTTGTAGTAGCAGAAAACCTGAAGTGGGCCTAAAAGTTATTAACCAAAGTGTGTAAAATAAATTTTTACGTGTATTGCCCAACATCCAAAAGTATACTAACTTTAGGTTTCTGTCAAGAAAAGGAATTTTTTTTCTGTAACATCTGAAATTTCATTGCAGAAATTATATTAACGCTTTAGAAAGAGCAAACAGCACTTGTGGCTTGTTTGGAAAATCACTCTATATCAACCTGCTACTGAGATGCTGATAGGAAAGGGCGGGGAGCTCCAGGGAGCCATTGGGTGGCGATGTTGATTCAGTTTCAAGCCGTGTGAGTCTGAGCAGGCTGTTAGGAAGTTAAAAGAACCACTTCAGGACTTCGGTTTGTGATTCATAAACAGCAATTGCTCTTTTTGTTCGGGCTCCAATAGAATCGAAATAGAATAGAACACACGCTTGCTTCTAAGTGAGCTGACGGCAGCCTGTGGGGAGTAATTGCTGACATCTTCTGCTGCTTTGTACTGCTGCTGGCCTGAGTGGGTGGCGAGAGGCATTTTGTGCAGACCTGTCAGCAGGAGATTCCGTGCTCCTGCTCTGTGGTCAGCAGACACAAAATAGAAATCCTAGATGACTTCTTAGTATCAGAGGCAAAAACAGACAAACAAAAACTTTTGACTCCAAAGGACTTCTTTCATACCAAGGCCATTAAAGGATGGACTTGTGATTTTTTAATTTTTATTATTTATTTGTTTGTTTGTTTATTTCTGAT